GCACTTTTATATATATTTTTATGTTCTATTTTATATATATTTTTATGTTCTATTATTAGCTCGGCATATCATTGTTTATATATTATTTGAATGTTATTAGTATTGTTTTTTTTTTATTATTAACATGATATGGCAAGACATGCGGCAGTAAAATGTCTGGCCCGCGGGATTGTGTTATACGAATGGGTCTGTAAAATTTATGGAACACTGGAACTCTCAGCCGACGCGCCAACAGAAGAGCACTGTAAATAATGTCAATTTTTAAGGAAGATAGGCTTTGTACAGTAACCAGCAGCCATGCATGCCTAAAGCTGGCCATACACCTAAAGATTTTATGCAGATTTTCTATTGTCAGATGTAAAAAGTGCAACAGATTCCCCCATCTACGTTAAGCTGTGTGGATGGAGGAATTTCCCGCTGGGCCAAGCTTCAGTATCTTGTTAGTCAGGCCCGATGGCTGTCAAAATACCTGAACAATCTGATTGGATGCAGGCATTGTTTAAGTATTTTGAGAGCCAGCGGGGCCGACTAGGAAGATGCTGAAGCTTGGCCCATTGAGAGATTCCTCCATCCACACAGCTTAGCGTAGATGGAGGACCCTGTTGAACTTTTTCCATCTGACCATAGAAAATCTGCAGATAATCTATAGGTGTATGGCCAGCTTTAGATACACCTCATTAGAAGAAACTTATATGGCCTGTGCTGTTCTTCAGAAAACAAAACTGCGCTTTAACCCCTGTGCACATGTGCAGAAGTTACGTAATCCCAGGCCGGCTAATCAAGATGGCTAAAGAGATGCCGAACCTTGAGGAAGACAGACCGAGCAGAGATATAAAAACCAGCGAAATTGCTCACAGACATGGCATTGCTGGAAGAGAGGTGAGCATAGCAGACCTAACTTCTGCTTTAAGAAGTAAACTTGCGCTCACTGGAAACATCCAATCATTTGTAGGGGTAATTGACAAGAAATATTGTTGGATTTTTAATATGAATATTGGATGTTTTAAGTGAACCTAGGCCAGTTTCCATTTACTTTGATAAAACAGGTCCGTAGAACTCCCATTTACCCAAGCCCAAAGGGATAAGCCATATGTTGAGACAGCCCCTGGTTTAAAAACCATTGATTTGTTGCTCAATCACAATGTTTACATGTAGATCAGTGTCCTTTTCGAAAGGTTGGTAATCTGTAATAGGTTATTCACTAAGCTCTTACCAGTGGCCCATGGGTTGAAGAGTAGAGTAAATCCTTGCAGCTTATGGGATGTGTATCCTTCAGAGAAGATGCGGACAGTCAGCCTGTATGATCCAATTATAGCAGTTACGGGAGGTGTGATCCATACGATCACAGAGCTTGAAGTGGTAGATTCGGGAACTGCCCTCCAACCCCCTTTGGTGACGTCCTTTTTGGATAGACAGAATGTTGCTTTTGTTCCTTTGACAATAGTAGGTGATTTACCCTAAAGAAACATCATTATTCATAGAAATATATAATTGAGGGTCTACTAAGAATACCTATAAACAATCTGATTTAAGCAAACATGATATATTATATGTGCCTCACCTCTGTATAGCATGTGATAAAAGGCCCCATGGATGCACAAAAGATTAACATAGGCATTTAGAAGCACCGAAAGGTGCTCACAATTTGGAGAGATTTCGAGTTTGTATATAATCATGACCCAAATGACAAATAGCACCTCACGCCAAACCTTGTGTAGCTGCAAGCACTATAAGAAGTGTTACCCTTTAAATGTATCAAATTGTGACCTAACGCGTAGGGCGAAACTCCGCCCTACGCGTATGTCACAATTGACTTAATCTGGGGCTGAAGTCAATTGTGATGTAACGCGTAGGGCGGAGTCTCGCAGACGGGGATTGGAGATTGCATGATCGGCAGCACAGCTCCTGTTTGATCCGTTTTTGCACCCAGAGAATACGATGACACGGAGAGAGAGTTGTCTGGCATACATTTTACTTGACGTTTTATGTCAACTTTCCTTATGTTATTAGTTTTTTAAATAAAGGAGCTTTTTAATTTTACCTTTTTACGCTATGGGCTGTTTATATTGGATATGGTTGTGATGACATGCTGACACCATTTTCTGTGTAACGATTGTGGAGAGACGGCCTTTGAATAAGATTGATTGGAGACCTGCTTAGGTCTACTTTTAAGGTGAGCGGCCCACTAAGAGGGGTGAGCACCTGGGTGATAATTGGAGTTGGTGTATGGACTTTGTATAAAGGACTTTCATTGTGGAAGGATGAAGAGTGTAGTGCACTTGGGACAAATCTTGAGCACTTTATACATGTGATTCCACATTTGTGCTCATATCAACACGGAATATATGATTGAACTTTCCAGAGGAATATTATTTAGGATCGATATTTACAAGAAGAGCAATTAAGAATACTTTGATTGCATGTATTGTTTAGCACATTTATTATAGAGATTTGTTTTTTTATGTATTGTTTTAGAGGAAGCGCAGCACATTAATTCTTATAATTTGATATAATCATGGCCCCTTCCATATCCAGAAAAACAATGCTACATTTGAACTGCTCAGATTATACACAACCCACAGGTACATTATCTGTGAATCATCTGTCCTCTGAGACCCAGCTTTTTACACATTGGTCATCACCATCTTTTTACTTACATGGCACAGAGAAGGAAAATATAAGGGTCTATTCACTAAGCTGCCGTAGGCAGCCGAGTGAATGACCGACCTGAAGTGAAGTGAGCCGAACACTGTTCGGCTATTCACTTCAGGCTGGTATGGCTTATTTCAGCCGTATATCGGCTGAAATCAGCCGTACATCGGCTTGCTTCGCATGGCTTCGAGTTGGCCGAACATGCACAGCATGTTCAGCTGACCCGAAGTGCAGAAGGAGTTCGACTCAGCCGATCCAATATCAGGATCGGCTGAGCCGAACCTCCGGCAGGCTACTCACTGCTGTTCGGCCTATTCTTATAGATTCCGAACAGCAGTGAGTGAATAGCCGAATGCAGATGAGCGGCATTCCGGTTGGCTGTTCTGCTCGGTCCGTCAGAGGGACCGAGCAGAACAGAAAAATAGTTAAAAAAGTTAAAAAAAAATGACAGCTAGCTCCGCCCAACAGTTTTCTATTGTCCGGCGGTTGTGCTGCCGTCAAAAAAAAAGAAAATAAAAAACTCCCCCGGGCGCTCTGGGAGCCTCCCGCTCCCGGCCGCCGAGGAGAGAAGCACTGCTTTTTCCTTTTTTTCTTTATTCTGACACAGAGCCATGTCAGAATAGAAAAAAATATATATTTTTTGCCCACTGGAATGCATTGCTAGATTCCTATTGGCTATTTCAATTTGCAATAGCCAATAGTAAACTAGCATTGTACCCGCCCTCTGCTGATGGACCTGATGGAGAACTGCAGCAGAGGGTGGGTACAATACTAGTTTACTATTGGCTATTGCAAATTGAAATAGTTAATAGGAATCTAGCAATGCATTCCAATGGGCAAAAATAGTTTTTCGTTTTTTTTTTCTATTCTGACACAGCTCCGTGTCAGAATAAAAAAAAAGAAACAGCAGTGTTTCTCTCCTTGGCGGCCAGGAGCGGGAGACTCCCGGAGCGCCAGGGAGAGTTAGCTGTTTGGAGATCAGTGTCCCTGGTCGAACATGGGAGTAGGTGATGAGGGAGTTAGAGAGTAGACATGTGCACTGCCAAAAAATTAGTTTAGTTTCGTTTTAAATTCAGATTTGTGTTATTTCGTTTTTCGGGATTCGGGTGTGAAAGTCAATTCGGATTCTGAATTCGGATTTGGACGAAATTCGGTAGCGGTATTCCGAACGTTCGTTTCGTTTTCTGTTCTTATTCGTTTCTTATTCGTTTCTTATTCGTTTCGTTCGTTTGCAGCAAAGTGACATTTGAGGGGGGAAAAATATTTTTCTCCTTCTCTAATGTCACTTTGCTCCAACGAACGAAACTAATAAGAAATGAATAAGAAACGAATAAGAACAGAAAACAAAACGAACGTTCGAACTACCGCTACCGAATTTCGGAAATGGAAATTCGGATTCGTTTGCATTCGTTATGTCTGTAATTCGGAATTCGGATACATCCGAATGTCCGAATTTCCGAAAATTCATCCGAATTTCGATTCGGAACGAAACGAATCGCACATGTCTATTAGAGAGTAGAAGGTCTTGGGAGGAGTTTGAGTGATATTTTGAGATGAAGTTGGCGATTTATATTGCTTATTTTGAGTAATTAATTAATTTAATCTTCCTGTAATTGTTCCAAATTAGTCTTATTCATACTAATTAATAGTAGACTGTTAATTTGAAACCCAAAATGTCTTACCTGTTTCAACAACAAAGGTGAAAATTGTCTTCAGCTC